AAAAAAAAAAAAAAAAAAAAAAGGACAGATTGCTCCTGGCTTATTCTTCATTTTGTGCCATCTCTGCAATTTCTCTGTAGGCTCCAATTTTCATGTCAGATTCTTCTTGAGTCAGGAGGATTCACTTTCCTCCTCTCCACTCCCCCAAGCTATTATTTTCCCTTGTCTGCATTCCAAATCTTGTAGAGGCTATGTTTTTGTTACTTACCATGCCATCATTTTCCCAGAAATTCCCTGATAATTTTAAATATATAACCAAAGAGTGCACTCTGATTTTTTCTGGCAGAAATGAGAAAAATGTTGTGATTTCTTATGGAAAAATCCAAAGCTACTAATGCTTAAAAAATGTCTTCAACTCATGTTTTTTCAGTCACCAAGTTATTGACAATCTGGAACTGATCATTACTTATGGCAGTATCTGTCCTGAATATTATAGGATGTTTAGCAGCATCACCCTCTTCCACTCACTTCTTCCCATTATCAAAATCAAAACTGTCTCCACCTACCTTTAAATATCCACTTGGGACAGAAATATACTTTGCTAAGCTCATAGATTTAAATCAACAATTACTATATCTTCAGAAATTATTGTAGATTGATAATATAGCACATTGATAAGAAAAATTTTAAAGTACTTCAAAGTGTAAATGTTAAAACAAATATATATTAATATGCTGAAGAAAATATATGATGCAGTCATTAAAATAAGTAAGCATTACACCTGGTGATCAAAGAGACTTCCCAAAATTACCATTGATATTGAGAATATGGGGGCATATAAGGTAGGAAAGAAAAAAAATTAAACATCAAGAATATTTATGATATACATAGAAGCCTATTTATGCATCAAACTAAAAAGCACATGTGTATGAATGTGTGCATAACATAAAAAGACTGATATATTAAGAGGATCTAAGATCTAACGACATCAAGAATGGCAGTGAGGGCCGGGGGTTTAGCTCAGTGGTTCTGCCACCTGCCTTATAAGTGCAAGGTCCTGAGTTAAATCCCCAGTATCAAAAAAAAGGTGTGGCAGTGAGAATGCAAGAAGTGATTCAGAATAACTACAGGAAACAAAATGTAATGAAAATCTAAAACTTTATGTGAAAGTATATAACAACATGATTTAAGGATATCACTATAGGTAGTTAATTTGCTTCCCAAATGTGGAAATAGAGGAGTACAGCACACAGTCTTTAAAGACATTTAAATGTTATATGAAGAAGTATTTTAAGTTAAAATTTCATCTTCTATAAAGATATAAATATTCACATGTGATAAGGAAAAATGAAAACAATGGTATGACTTTGCATATGACCAGCCCAACCACACATTCTCCTGCTCTGACACAAATTGAAGGTATCCAATCATAAAACATAGGTAAAAGACTATAGGTAGTGATGCCTCCTGGAGGGCGTCTGAAACCAAGAAGAGCACTGCCTGTACAAGGAACTAGAAGTAGGCTCTAGGGTTCATTCCAAACCCCAAGCTCCTTACCTTAGCAGAAAATAGAATGAAGCATGTAGGGGACCTGGCTCAAGCATCAGCAGCAGTGTTATCCTATACCCCTTATTCATACTTAGTGGATTCAAGCTCAATTCCCCACAATTGCTACTGGCCTAATTCCGGCTGCAGTATAAATAGGACTGAGAAGTCTTAAATTTTGTGTGTTTGCATATGTGTGGCTGGAATTTTTCTTTTGTCTTTTTCTATTCTTTCTTTCCTTTTTTCTTTTCATCTGTAAAGTATATGGGTGGTGTTTGCATACATGAAAAGGAAAAAATTAAAATTAATTAGTCCTTTAATTTAAATAGTATCTTTCACAGACATGTCAAATCAAGCCTCACAAAATAATGTGTATAGAGTATTCAAATATAAAGTTTCTATCAGCATATTAATTGATTCTAATGTAATCACAGTTTGACTCAATCCTTAATTTTAATTATCTTCTTTCTTTTTCTCACCCCAAAATAATCTCACAAACCATATCTCCACCAGCTCACAAGTTGACATAAAAATAAGAAAGTCAGTTGTTTTCTTCATTTGCTGCTACCTCTTTTTTCTTCTTTCCTTCTTTCTGAACTGTTCTCTTCCTTTTCATGCTGTGCCAAGGAATATAAGAGGTATTGTAAAAAATGTGCTGAGAAGAAAATTGTGTCCTTAAAGTGAATAATAATATCCAATGATCAAATATGAAATCACCCATACACTGATATTTACATTATATAGAAAAACACTAATAATAGCTATATAAAAAGGAACAATAGAAAGATAATTAAAAGTCTGTCATCTCTGAATTTCTTCTGCAATAAAATTTTATGAATAGTTTCAGTCACCTACAGTTTTTGTTCCATAGGAGTATCACATACATAATTCTATAAGACTAATGCCAATCTTCAAATCACTTCTGATCCTAGAAAAAAAATGGGAAAATAGAAAGGTTAGGTAGGTAAAATATTAGATGCCAGGGAAAGCAGAAAGATGAAAAATAAAATTAGATACCAGGTAAAGCAGACAGCTTAATTCCATAAAGCAATTGAAAAGAAATCAGAACTTCTGAAAATAAATAGTAACAGAGAGTTCTACTTCATAAGTCTAATTAAATACAATGTCTGAACCTAAGGCTTAGAGTCCCAGGACCACAGGCACTTCTTAAATGTGACTCTTATAGCTTCAATCTGAAAAGTCTTCTCAGCGCTCCAGTTATATCCTTATTCCTCAAACTGTAGATGAATGGGTTCAACATAGGAGTCACCACGCTGTACAATACTGAAGCTCTTGCAGTTGAGTGTGAGTTTTGGGTAACGGAAGAACTAAGGTAAACACCCAGAAGTGTAGAATAAAATAAGGAGACAACAGAGAGGTGAGATGCACAAGTGGAAAATGCTTTGTACTTCCCTTCAGTTGATGAGATTGCACGGATGGCAGAAACTATTTTAGCATAAGAATAAAGAATACCAGCAAGGGGACCACCCCCCAGCAGCACAGCTGCAAAATACATCACCATATCATTAGCAAACGTATCAGAACAGGCAAGCAGGACCAACTGATTAAGTTCACACACAAAGTGTGGGATTTCCAAGTCTGTACAGAAGGACAGCCTTAATGCCATTAAGGTTTGTAACAAGGAATTTAAGGCAGTTGTGATCCAAGACCCCAGTACCAGATATCCACAGAGTCTGCGGTTCATGATGACCATGTACTGCAGGGGGTGACAGATGGCAACAAAGCGATCATAGGCCATCACAGCTAAGAGGAAATTGTCCAAAACCCCAAAGACTATGAAAAAGTACACTTGGGTGATGCAGCCTTCATAGGTGATGACCTTGCTTTGTGTCTGAATGTTGACCAGCATCTTTGGAATGCTAGTAGATGTGAAACAGATGTCTGCAAAGGACAGGTTGGAGAGGAACAAGTACATAGGTGTGTGCAAGTGGGAGTCTGAGATTGTGGCAAAGATGATAAGCAGGTTACCAAGTATAGTGACCAGGTACATAAACAGGAATAGTCCAAACAGGAAGGGTTGCAATCTGAAGTCCCCTGAAATTCCCAGAAGAAGAAATTGGGAAGTCTGTGTTTCATTATCTGGTTCCATATAGTTGGTGTGACTAAGAGAAAAATAACATAACACAATTAAGGAAAATTAACTTGACAGAAAAGCTATCATTCATATTCTGCAGTCCAGACTCTAAATGCTACATTTTATTTATAAATTAGTTCCCTTTAACGGGATCCCTTTGACATGAGTGCTCTGGAATTCCTGTCTCACTCTCATCTTTTCACAAGATAGTTTATATTAAAAATTCAAATTTCTTCATGCTATTGATCATGCCTTTGAGCACTAAATCCCTATGATTTACAGATGGTAAAGTCAAAAGAGACCTTCCTAAAAAGAAAGAAGGATCCACAAAATAATTCCCAGAAGGTTGTAGCAGGCAGGGGAAAGGGCCACTGCAAAAGTCCTGAGAAAAGTACTTGTTTCAGGTGTTCAAGGTTAACAAGGAATTAAAATTAATTCCTGTATTGTTGCTTTATGATCCAGCTTCGATATTATGAATTACATTTCACAACATACAGAATCTAGTTCCTTTTAGACTGAAGCTTGTACACACGTGCACACACACACAAACACACACACATGCACACACACACACACTGCCTGCTTAAGGATGTATCACAATCCACAATCTCCTAAATCTATGTTAACAGCCTGCCCCCAATTTAACTCACACTATTTAAAAAGAATGGGGCTGGTAATTTAGCTCAGTGGTGCTGCCTCCATTTTATTAGTATTATTTCCACCTTATGTTTAAAGAAATACAAGAATCTTCAGTAGACATGGAGAGAAATAAACTGAATGGTTCTGAGGGAAAAAGATTGTAAGAAATCACAAGCTTCCTTGTTTGCAAGCATGTTCTGACTTTATATTTCCTGGAGGATATAAAAAATATATAAAATGAGAAAATATAAGTTTATCAAAAGAAAAATGTAATAATGTCTTTTTGGTACCAAGACACATACAGATTACTATCCATAAAGTTGATTTAAAAAAAAAAAAGCACTGGGCCAGGGATTTGGCTCAGTGGTTCTGCCTCCTGCCTCACATGCACAAGGGCCGGAGTTTTTTTTAAAAAAAAAAAAAAAAAAAAAGCACAGAAGAAGAATTAACAAAATGTTCAAAAAAGAACTCTACAAAGAACAACACGACTTGAGAATTATTTTTGTACCATACAACATGGCTTGGAGCAATTGGGAGTTTTGCATTTTTATTTACATATAATAATTGAACATATTTATAGAGAAATATGTGATCTCTTAAAAACTGTGTATGTTGAATAATTATGAAATCAGGGCAGTTGACACATCTATTACCTTTAATATTTTTCATTATAATAAGACCCTTGAAAGTACACTTGTCTGACTGTTTACTATAGTCACACTACAATGCAATTCATCACACAAAATTACTCTTCCCACCCAACTGTACCGTGAAAACTGGTCAATATTTCCCCATCATTCCAACCCTCCTAAGATTCCACAGTTAAAACAAATTGGTATTTCTTTTTCTGGGGAATTAGCCAGAAAGACAAAGATAAATCCCAATCTTTTTTTTCTTTTCTTTTTTTTTTTTTTTTTTTTTTTTGTATGATGAAACCAGATGGAGCAAGCCTTTTTCTCAATTGTGTTTGTGTGGGATGTTTTGTGTTATTCCTGGGCTCTCTGATCTGAAATCTTTGGGAAAACTGATGGGCAATGTAGACCTGCTTGTGATCTTTATCCAATGTGCACAAGTCAGGCCTCTACAGACTATCTTCAATAAAACCCTGCAAGGACTGGGGATTTAGCTCAGTGGTGCCACCACCTGCCTCCTCAGTGCAAGGTCTTCAGTTCTATTTCTCATCCAAAAAAAAAAAAAAGAAAAAAGAAAAGAAAACCCTTCAAGTCTGATATTTTACACAGAATAAAATCCTGAATATAGCTGATCCCTGAGAGTATTACATGACACACATGTCCAGTACACTATACTATGCCTTGACATTATGAGGCAACGTCCAAATAAACATACTTTATGTGCTTTGTTTAGCTTTCTGTTCTAACAACAATATGTCATTGCTACACAGAATGAAATTAAACAAAAGGAAAAACTGAAAAATAATTTTCACTGGTTGAAATAAGTGCTTTCAGAATAACTGTATTAAAAGATTGAATAAGGCATCAAGTACTAACTGAAAGAAGATATATAAAACAAATCATTTGATTAAATTGATTAGTAATTAAAGCTGCAAAGAGTTACATGTAAAAAAAGTTTCAAGTTTTTTGAATGCTGTGGCCCAAAGTATATGTTCAATTTGAATTTTTTAATTAATCAGGAATTATGCGTCAAGTCATATAAATATGTAATACATGACAAGGATGCACTTCCAGTTATGTGAAAAGCCTAAATGTAAAAGAAAAGCTCTCATAAATGACTACCTGCAGGACTGGGGATTTAGTTCAGTGGTGTTGCCTCCTTCCTTGAAAGCTCAAAGTCCCAAGTTCAATCACCAATACCA